GTACGTGAACACAAAGGTGAAGCTGTAGATCCTGCTCTCCCGAAGTTTACAGGGGAGAGCGGTGCACATCTGTGATACCTGGAAGAATGGGAAGTCCTACAGCAGAAGTACCGCGGATGTAGAGGAGAAAGGAGCTGTGGGGTGTTGGGGCGGGGGGCAGGTAGGCAGGAGGGGAGAGAACAATCAGAGACAGCCTCACAGAGTCTCAGCAGCCACTTCTCCCATCAGTCAATTTAACAATGGCATTCTTAGAGGCTCTTCATTTCAGGAAGTGGCTGCGGGGATTATCCCTTCCACATTATAGCTGGAGAAAACAAGACAGAGGAAGGTTCAAAGCTTGCCAGGCCACACCGTGAGCAAGGGAACCAGAACCTGAGCTTGGCACTCTAACTCCTAGCCAGACTTCGTTGCACCAACTCTCATTTCCTTCATCTCAAACTCCTGGACATCTAGGTGTAGGACGATTTTCTCTAGTACTCCTTTCCCTTGTCACTTAAGTCTGAAATCATCCATGTGTGTGGCTCCAGGGAAGGCTATAATCAGTGGAGACGGCTCAGTCAGATTGGAGTCACCATTCTTAATTCAACTTACTTCTCCTTCCATATCTCACACACACACACACACACACACACGGACATGAAGGAGCGGGGAGAGAGAGAGAGAAGCACTGGCTTGGACAGCAATCTGAGATGTGAACCCCAAATGCCTTCTTCCTAGCAGGGCACACCACTGGACCACCTTGCTGAAAGGCAATGGGTGCACGGGTGGATGAATGGGTGAACAGATGGTGCAGGAAGGGGGCAGGTACCCACTAAACAAACAGGGGGTGGGCGGGCTGCATGCACAGAGGAAGCAGAGAACAAAGGCCTCTCACTCTTCGTGCAAAGTCCACAGTGTGCAGAGGGCATCAATATTGGACATTTCTTACTGTGACATTTTGAAAGCCCAGAACAATGGTTACCCTCTGGGGACCATGGGCTGCGTGTCCCTAGCACGTATTCAATGATAGCTGGCATATCCCATGTGCTTGGTGAACTTGACCTTGGGCATCCAACTCCCATGATGGTTCTACGTCACTCTGGTCTCTTCCCCCACTGAGAATTCCAGTCTCGGATGAATGGGTGGATTCATTCGGGGAGCAGAAAAGCCACTCCAGGAGTGAATCAGAAGGATCCAGCCTCGGTTCCCTTGCCAGCCATTGAGCCAGGAACTGAGTGCAATTGTGTGCCCAGGCGCCGGTGCTGGTCCCCTCTCAGGGAGAGGGGGTCAGGGTCCACGCAAGAGATGACGTAGAAGCCCTCTCAGGAGGAAGAGAAAGGAATCTCAGCTTGGAGGGGACAAAGCTGCCCTTTTGGTTGTGACCCTCATTCCAAGGAGGTGCCAAGATGTGCATGCACTGGTAAATTAATTCTTTTGGATAAAAATCTCAGCTTTTGCTTGACAGCTAATGGTCAATTTCAATTTTCTTCAACTTGATAGACTTTCAGAAATAGGCTGCTAGCTTTTCAGAAAAACACTTTCCGCAAGACAGGTGGAAAGACCGTGCCTCAGCTCACCCAGAGAATGCCTCTCCTTTAGTCGCCTCTGCTCTACTCTTCTGATTCGTGAAGGAAAGATGGATTTTTTTAATTGTAAACTCCAATCGAGGCAATATGAAGTATCTGCACTTTCTGCTTTTTAGTTTGAAAAATTAGGTGAGTGAACCACAGTTTCAAGATCCAGGTGGTAAGGGGACATCTACATCACAAGGTCAGGGGACCCAGGATGACACTTTCAGGAAGCAATTCCTCTAGGACGGGCAATCGCAGGACCGCCACTTCGCCCATCGCTAACTAGGCTGTAACAAGATGGGGAGGTTAGCTTTGTAAGGCCCCAGCCCTCTGTGGGCCTCCTGGAGCTAAGGTGCAGGGAAGGAGCAGCTCCTGCTGGGGCTTATTAGGGCATTGCTCGGGGCTTCCCTCCACGTGCCAGCGACTACTGTCTGGCATTTGTCCATCAATCTTCCTCTAAAAAGCAAGGGGAAGAAGGGACAGGCATTGTTTAAATTCTACATTAGAGAGCTGTCCTTGACACTGATGGACATCAGACGCTTGTGGCCAGAGCTTATAGTCTCCACTGGTGGCCAAACGTGAGCCTGCAAGAGCCCTCCCGAAGGATATTCTCTCAGCCTCGTTCACCGTAACTAGCTACTCTGCACGTCCTTGGCGTAAAGAAATGGGCCACACGTTCCCTAGCTAGTAAAACCTGCATTCCAAAAGGGCTGCTTCGTCTTGCACACCCCCTGGGGTCCATGTACTCAGGTACTCAGACAGCACACTCAGGATCCCTGAGGTTTGGGTTTGTGCACACACAGGGCCTTGGCCTGAAAGGAAGTGAGGTCCTTTGGGCACACTGAGTCTTACAACATAAGCCAACCACTACACATTCTGAAGTGTCTACTACAGCCCAGTATCGTGTAGTCCTGTAGTGACATACTTTCCAGCCCTGGAGTTGTGACTCGACTGCTCTAGGCCTCCCTGGCTTCTTCCCTCAGGGGATGACAGTTCCCACGATGCTTCAGCTTACCTATGTCTATTTCAGACTGACAGCAGAGAGTGGGTAATGGCGCTGGAAATGAGTAAGAGTAGTCCAATCCTATTGTGGGAGTGTGGGTGTGGGTGTTTAATTCTGGCCTCTTCCAAAAGAGAATAAAGTTTTGTCTTTGGAAGACTTAAATGGTGCAAAGACTAGTCATCTGAAAGTAGGTGGGTTTTGATCAGGGAACGAGGCGCAGACTACCACAGTGAGAGCCACCGGTCTGCTGGGAGCCGTGGACAGGTGCCCACGGGGCAGGAGCTCCACCTCAACGGTACGTAAAAGAGCAGGGAACAGGGAAGTCCCTCACTTCAAGCAGCTGAGAGAGGACGGGGCCGACGCCGAGGAGCTTCAAGAGTCAGCAAACGAGTCACACGCGGGAAGCCCGGCTCCACCTCCCGGCAAGTCCCACCGAGAGCTGGAGACGCCGGCAGAGCACGGGGGAAGGGCCCTCGAACGACCCTCGAACCGGGGCCAGTCGGGCCCTGCTCTGGGCAGAGGGTCCGTGCGGGCGGCGCGGGCGAGGGGACTCGAAGGACGCAGGGCAAGGCGCGTCGCCGGCCCGGGGCTCCAGCGGCCCTGCCGCGGGGCCTCACTCACCAGCTCATGGTTCCGAACCTGGCCCTGCCGCCGGCGTTCCCCACCGCAACTTGGTCCTCAGGGATCACTTCCGGATTCAGCCAGTCTCCAGGAAGTGACGTAACCCCGCCCCCTCTGCCCGGAAAAGGCGGCTGAGTGGGTGGGGCCCGGCGCTTTAACCCTTCCGCCGCCGCGGACGTCCGAGGGAGATACTTTGGATCGCGACCCTCCCGTGTTGGCTGGGGGGCTCCGGCTTCAACCCGGGGCGGGGCCAAGGAGGCTCCCTGGGCCCGTTTCCCACCTTCAACATTGACCTGTAAACTCTTCCGCTGACTACACGTGTCTCTTAACCGGGTTATTGCTTAATTTTTCTCTCTGTAAAGAGGTTTCTAATCCAGAGACAGTAACAGTGATTGTTTAGGGGCTAGGAGCCCATGGGGAGAGAGCCCGAGGGAGACATATTCGCTGTATGGTCTTTTGTCTCTTTTAAATTTTGTACCCCGTGTGTGCCGTTACCTGTTACAAGCGAATAAATGGATCTTATTCCTCCAAGATGTCACAGGGCTGGCTCTGAGTATAAATAGAATAGGCGCTTTTTAGGTCGGAATGTTCTGCAGATTTACTCAATATAAGAGGAGAAAGAGTGAGGGTCTTCCAGCTCTCCCTCTGTGCAACCCAGGTGATGTGACTGGTCCCCTTCTTCCTCCTCATTCATTTAACATATTTATTGAGCTCCTACAATGTGTTAATCACTGTGCCGACTTCGGGGATGCGTCCATGGTAAATAGAGGATGGGAAAGAACAGGGGCTCTGGCAACCTGTTAGCAGCCCCCCTCCTCCACCTCCAGCTGCCCATTGGGTTTTAGTAAAGGCTTCTGGGAGGGACCAATGCGTAAGCCAGGTCCTGAAAAGGAATCACGAGAGCCGGGTGAATCTGAGATGAGGGCTTGGGAGGGTCCAGGCAGAAGGAACTTACCTTCACTGTGAAGAGCACTGAATTCCAGGTAAGTAGCTCACTTCCCTTGAGTCTCCCAAACTCAGAATTTAGGGCCTTTGTCCCCCTCATAAGCTGTCTGGGATTATGGGACACGCTGACCTCCTCACCTCCAAGAACCTTTTTGCCTTAGAAGCCAGAGGAGCAGGAAGTGAGGCCTGTGCGTGTAACTGCTGGGCCTCCAGGGGCCTTCCCTCTGGGAATTCTTAAAATGGACTCTAGTGTTTTAAGGGCCATTGGGGAGCAGCTAAGCCAATGCACTAGATGAACTAGTATAATTTGTTCTGGCCTCCCAGGGCAGGGCAGAGGGCTCCGCCAGGGGGAGTAGGGGAGCTCAGGGGACTGCCCATAGGAGGTAGTCTCTCATTTGTGTTTTTTGTTTCCATTCTTAAGGGTCTAGAATTTGACTTGGTAGAGCAGAGGTGTCCAACATTTTGGCATCTCTGGGCCACACTGGAAGAAGAGTTGTCTTGGGCCACCCTTAAATACACAAATACTAATGAAAACTGATGAGCAAAAAAAAATTTTTTAAGTAAATTTACGATTTTTTTCTTGGGCCACATTCATAGCCATCCTGGGCCAACCCGTGGACCACAGGTTGGACACCCCTGCAGGGTTTTCTACTAGAAGGTGGGCCTCCGAACATATCACACAGAACAGCTTCATGTTACAGCTCAAGGAACAGGCCAAAATGAGCACTAAAGCAGCCTTGAAGAGTAAAGAGGACAGGGACAAGTCCCCAAAGGGCAGCCAGGGCAGAGAGTGTAGCCAAAGGGAGGGACAGTCACTGCCTTTCCCATGGTGTGATGGATGGAGGGCGAGAGTGCTGTGGGTTTTTTTTTTTTTAAAGACATACGTGCTCCAGGGTTTGGCAGGGACAGGGGCGGACCTTCCTAACACAGGGAAACCCTTTCAGCAGTTCCTCTCCCTGCGTGTCCAATGACCAGGACACAGGCAGCCCGCAGTCACTTTTGAATGCACGCGTGCTATGTAATCTTTATGAGCCTCCTGGCACTTGAGTACCTGCGGCGGGCTCTCCCACCTGCTTCTTCCTTTCTCTGTAGCCTGTCTCCCTTGGTCATTGCCCTGTAGCGCTAAAGCATTTACCAAAGTATTAGCCCAGGCAACTGCCATATCCCAGGGAAAGTCTGCTTCAGGGGTGGGGGGTAGTAGACACGTCCCACGGGGCAAAACTGATGAGCTCTAGACTAGGAGACTAGAGGTGTCCTGGGCTCTGGTTCCATCTTTGGTACCATGGCTGACCTAAGACAAGCCATCCCTCTCTGGGCCTCGGTCCTCTCACCTAGAAGATGAATGGATGGATAACTCCACCAAAGCTGGAACATTTTGATCTTTCAAGTCAATGGTCTTGTTGACTTCAGAGGCCCTCAAGAAACAGAAGAATGAGGGGAACATGTGAGGTGGGGCCTGAACAGAGAGTTAAGCCAACAGAGCAGGTCTCAGGAGTCAGCATGTTTGTAGGTGAAGCCAAACATAAATCTGGGAGGGAAGGATTCAGCCTGAGGCCCAACTGGGGCTGTGCTTCTTATCTCTAAGCCTGAATCTGTCACAAAACCAGCAGAAACTTTGAGATACTGGGAAGAATGCTGACCTCCCAGGAGTCTGTCTGGAAAGGGCCTGCTGTGGGCTGAGCTCCATCTCCTTATCTGAGGCCCATTTGTTCAGCTTGCGGTGCGCCTGAGGATGGATGGTCATGCATCCTGCCATCCCGCAGACCTGGTTTCTGTCTTTGAGCACGGCATGCCATGTAGCGTTGATGCTGGGGAGGTGAGCACAAGGAAGCTCAGACACCTCTTGTTGTCATGAAAGACTCAACTGCAGTGTTTCGAGACCCAGGCTTGGGAGTATGTCTTTTTTTTTTTTTTTTTTTGGAAGCAGAGGACAGCACCCTACAGGTTGGTCCTACCCCTTCAGGAGAGGGATGGGAAGGGAAAAAACATGGTTTCTAAGTGGAAGCTTAGAGTGGAGGCGCTTTGGGCAGAGGTGGATGCTACTGTTTGCAGGCCTGGTATATACTGCTTTCTCCCCAGAAGCCGGAGTCTGCAGTGAAAGCGTTCAGGTGGCAGAGAGCTACTCAAGGGGACGAAGCTGTTGCCAGAGGGAAAGCCACTGAAGGACCAACTGTGCCTGCAGACCCCTGACCTCTACCTGGAGCTTTTCACGCAGCGATTTGTAAGCAGGTGCGCCCAGCTGTCCTCATCTCTGGGCTTGTCATAGGTGCCCTCCTGCAGCCTCCCCCACACAGAGGCTGACCCTGTGATTCTCTAACCATGCCTACCTCTAATCCGCTGAGAGCAAGGGTCCCAGGAGCGGACCTGGGCCGTTACAGACTTCATTAGAGCCTGAGGGCTGCGAGTGGAGGGACTGAATGTGAAGGGGCCAAACCAGTGGGCTGAGCTCCCCTGCAGCCCAAAAGGCCTCTGCGTCCAGGAGGCTCCAGCAGCATAAATGAGGACCTGGACCCTCGGGTTGCTGTGTGGTTTCACCCCTCACGTCTCTCTGCTCTGGATCTGCTCAGCAGGATGTCTCAGAGCAGCAGTTGCCTGGGCAGCCATGGGCCAAGGACATGGGAGAGGAGCAAGGGTGGGAGTGGATGGGAGGTATCAGAGTTGGACTTGCCAGTGGTGGGAAGCCCACTTTGATGGCTCAAAGGCCAGGGTCAAGTGGCAATCAGAAGCTGCCACCAGCAGGGCTCTGTTGGGGCTCAGCAGGATCAGTTTCCAGCAGACAGATGTAGCAAGCGGTGGTGAGGGCCAGGAATACTATCTGGACTCTGGCTCTGCCTCCACGTAGCCTGAGGATGTCTCTTCCCTTCTTGGGGTCTCATCTTCCTTGGCTGTAGTGTAGAGTATGGGTTAGATGGCATGTGCCAACTCAGATTGCTTGCGACTGGCTGCCTGGAGTGCCGAGTTGAGGATCAGAGGAATCTGCCATTGGTGGGGAAGTTCTGTGATTGATTAGCAATGTCTGTCTCGGATGAGTAAAGGGGCTGTGATGGTATAAATTCCACTTCAGTATTTTGTGGTTATTTTTATTACGAGTTAATAATTGAGCATTTGGATGTGCCAGGCTCTATTATAAGCAGTTTGCATTTCATATTTGCAACAACTCCATGAGGTAGGTACTGCTATCATCATCGGCTTGGAGGAGCTGAAGCACAGCCAGCCAATGGTGGAAGGCAGACTCCAGTCTGGGCAAACCTGGCTTCCCCTCATGCCTTTTGCCATGATGGCATAGCACCTCTCGTTGATGATTGCTGAGGTTCCTGACAATCTATGGTTCTGTTGGGGCCCAGTGGGGTCAGATTCCAGCAGACAGATGTAGCCATCTGTCTACAGGGAATAGAGCACAGAGTGGCTGGGTTGGGTGTGGAGGGAAGGACAACATGTGACCAGCCACGGAAACCGGGAATCCCATGCTCGGCCTCATCCCGGGAACTTTTATATGCTTCCTCCAGTTTGGGGACCTCAGCCAGCAGGTGGCAGCACCTGGCAGGTGGAGGGAAAAGGGCAGGTCCCCACTTGGCATGCAGGGATGAGACAGCCCAGGTGGGGGGGAAAGCAAGAACAAATGAGGGTGTGGGAGACGGCCAGCCAAGGGTCCGCGGAGGCCAGCCTGGGCCTCAGACCCACGAGGAGCTGCCATGGCCAATGCCTTAGTTCCACCGGCAGCCTGGGCCTCTCAGCTTGCATTTCATGGTGCCTGCTGGAGGCTTTTTTTCCTCCACTCTGGGAGAATGACTAACTTAAAGGACTAAAAAAAAAGTGTTTTGATTACACTGCCTTTTTACCAACTGGGAGCATTAGTCACCGTGGATTGCTGCAGATAACGGGGAAGGCAAGCAGCGTCCCCCACCTCCCCCACCTTCTCCCCGATTAGCTCACAGAAGCAGGGAGGAGACGTGTGTGAGGGAGAATGCACCAGGGAGGGAAAACAATCCCCCTGGACAACATGTGTCCCAGCACCCATCCAGCACTGCCTGGTCGAGGCTGGGCAGTCCCCCGGGGCAGCGTGGCCCCCGCTGGGAAGGGAACGGACAGGAGGGGCACTGAGCCCAGTGCTCCTGGGCTCCGGGTTGGCTCTAGGCAGCCTGTTTCTCCAGCTGGGTCCGGGGCACACCTGGGCAGGGGGCAGTTAGGGTCAGTCAGCAGGCCACGGCTCCTGAGGTGGGGCATTAGTGGCTGAAAAGGATGCTGGGGGAGCACACGGAGGCCATGATGGCTGTGATGTGGGGGCCGGTACCCAGTGCCAGTCGGGGGGGGGGGGGGGGTGGCTCAGAAGTGCCGCCTTGAGCAGGGGCCTCAGGGCCCAGACTCAGGTTGAGAAGTTCCTGCAGGTGAGGGTGGTGCCCACTTTCCCACACCCCGCACCTCCACATTTTCCCTTCCTCTCTGTCCCCAAGGGAGCAGTACCTCATGCTTTGGGCCACCTTCCTACCCAAAGTAGCCTTCTTTGCTCCTGCTGTGCAAGGTGCTGGGGCAGGAGAGCTAGGGCGCTGGCCCGGTCCAGCCTGTTGGCCAGGGTGCCGAGGGTGGGAGCGCAGTGCCTTGCTGGGGAAGACGCTGAAGCAGGGAGGGATGGCGCTGGGCTGCCTCGGGGACAGGCCAACCCTGAGAATCTTGTTCTTTCAGCCCCGCCCTTTCCATTCCCCCCACAGTGCTGCCCCACCCTGGCAAGGACACATTTATCTGAGTGGCCCTTCAACTGGCAGGCCACTGGTGGGTATCTGTCTGAAGAACCTCAAGGATTAGGACAGATAACCTTCGGACTATAAGAGTCAAGAAAAAGAAGCACTGTTATTTTTACATCTCCCAAGATCGAAGTACTTCATCTTGATTTTGCTGTTGCTGATTCTCTTTTAAAAATAAAATATCTGCAGGTGTTTGGTGTTTTCTGACCTCAAAAGGCTGACATGGCAAATGGAGTTGGAAAAAAGCTCAGAGCACAGGGGGTTGAGAGAGGCAGCCGCGGGCCCTCCCCGAGGGACGGGCCTGGGAGAGGTCGGCCTTATCCCCCAGGGCCGGAGCTGCCATGGAGGCTATCGAGGTGTTGCGGCGGCTGTGTGGTTTGTCCGGCCCATCCGTCCTGGTGTGTCCCTTCAGACTTGGCTCCGCCGCACGTCCCGCAGCAGGCCTGGGGCTCCCCAGCCCCTCCTCTGCCCTTTGCAGTTCCCCGTAATGGCCGCTGTCATTGCCGTCCCACCGGCACTGGGCGCCGCGTTCTGCGTGCGCTAGACAATGTCTTTTTCACAGTGACTTGATGAGGCAGCTCCACTGATGATCTCTTTTATAGGTGAGGAAACTTTTATAGATGAGGCCGAAGTGATTGCCCAAGGTCATCGAGCTGGCCCAGTGAAAGCAACAAGCCTTTAACCCCGGGCTGTCTAACCTGCTGTGGAGTAGAAAAGAAAGTACCAAAAGGGGGCGTATGTGGTCGAGGGAGCTGGCATTTATGGTCTACTCATTCTCACATGGCATCTCGTTAACCCTTGCTGCCGCCCAGAGGAAGACAGCGAGGCTTGGTGGCCTTGGCCGCAGGAAAGCCTGTGATAAGAGTTGAGCTGAAGTCCTTCCAGCTCCAAAGCCTGCGGCCCAGAGGTCGGCTTGCAGCCCGGAGGGGTGCCCCTTGCTATCTGAGAGCTGCACGGGGAGGTCAGGTTTTGAGCTAATTGTGGGTGATAGAGAGCCTCAGGATGTTTGTCCCCTGGCTGGGCGAGCCACAGGGTGTCCCAGGTGAGCACGGCGCCCAAGAGAGCATGGCTTTCCTGGGGAATCCTTGCAGGTCCCACGCATGGTGAGGAGCACACGCAGGGAGTGGGGAGGACTGCCCTGGCCTGACCTCCCCCGGGCCTGGCTGCCCAGCGTCCGCCCCCCGCCGCTGTGGCCGAGACAGCCCCCAGACACCGGCAGGGCAGGTGGCAATTATCCCTGGGCACTGATTACACCACAGGGCCGGCCGGAGC